GTGAAGTTCAACAATCCCGAGAAGCTTCCGCGAAGGAAATTCTGCAAGCCAGAACCCAACAATTCCTGCAAGCTAAAGCGCAAGAGATTCCGTGGGGAAGAGCATGCAATACTCTCTTCAAACCAGCTTGGGACATGGCAGAAGCCAGAGTCAAACCTGCATGCTCCAAGGACTCTGTGCAAGCTGGACCCCAACACTCCGTGCCAGAGATGCCAACAACCTTGCAAGTTCACAGATGATCTAAATTCCGCAAGCTACCGCCCAATCATCTCCGCAGCAAATTTGGCAAATTAGGCCCCAAAAACACTGCAAGTATGTGCAAGGGAAATTCTGCAAACTAGAGCCCGCCAACCCTTGCGAGCTATCGCACAGGAAGCTCCACAAGTGAATCCTCCCAGGCAGCTCCTGAAGAACAATTTCCTCCATAAAATCAGCCAACAATCGCTGTGAGCGTTCACACTCCTGTATAAGAACACGGTAACATGGCAATCTCGCAAGTTTGACACCACCAGTCCCGCCTTGCCAATTTGCGCAAGGGATCGCGGGGGTGATAAGGTGACAACAGGAATCAGTCAAAGCACGCAAATCAACAACATATATATATATATATAAATACCTTTTTATCCACACAGAATCCTGCAGCACCGTTTGTTCAAAACAAATTGCATGTGGGACTGAAAAACGTGAATGCCACAGAAGAGGCAAACGCGAATCACGCGATGTAAGCGATGTTCCCTTCCGATTTGCGGAGGGGGCATGCTCAACGGTTGGTTGCTGTTCGGTGTGCCTAGGCCACGTTTACGGCGCAATGCGGCTGTGCGACCCACCAATGCGTTGCAGCGTGATTTTTAGGCTGACGTTTGCCTGTACGGACCCCGTCATTCTTAAGTCCTTCAAAGGCGACGTTTTGCCTACTTCAGAGATGCAGCGTGGTATTATTATGGTTTTATTCTCCTCAGCACAGCGAATCCTTACTACTGTCTATTGTACGCCTGTATTCGCACGCTATTGTCCGGCATTGGAGATACCTGCTGGTTTCTCAGATGAGGCGTGGGTTGTGTCTGAGCCAGTTTCTCCGCGTTTGGAGTCTGGCTCTTCAGCATACGCTTTGCGAGCAAAACAAGTTTCTCTTGCCACATCCTTGTTGCACGCATCCACACTTTGCCAAGACTCTTCAGCTTTGGCATGAAGCGCAAGCAGTCCGAGCCATGGGAGAACCTGCTGACAAGTCGCTCTGCTGGGCCAGCAGAGCCTCGTCGCCTTGTCAACGCAGGATGCGAGAGTCTACCGTCGAGAGCGACGGTGAAGCTCAGAAACAGCTCTTGGACAACATCGTCGTGTCGCAGCAGCTGCCTGCGACAGAGCCACTCACAACGTGCCGGTGCTGAACCTGTTCAGGTACTGGCAAATGCTTTCCGAGGATAGCGATGAGTTTTGGCGACTGCTCCAAACATTTGATCAGTCGCACCGCTCCCTATATTTGTATGGAGATGAAGTGCCCCCAGGCAATCCTTTGGCTCCTGGCAATCGACTCAAAACTTTTTTGCTATTATGTCATGTGCGACTTGATGCTCGGTCGCTGCCACTCTGAGAACTCCTGGTTTTGCATCTGCGTTGTTCGCACGGCCCTCTTACCCCGCATAGCAGGTGGATTAGCCGGCCTAACTCGCTCACTCGTTGCTTATTTGAAAAGCTGGCAACTAGGCGCTTTGCTGCGGCGCGAGTCGGAGCAGCTTTTCCTGACGCTCAAGTTGGAATCTGGCGTCATGGATGAGGCCGCGCTCAAGTCTTGCTTGGGCACCAAAGGTGCTTCTGGCCGCAAGATCTGCCATTTCTGCGCGAACGTGTTTGGGCGACAAGCTGGTGACGCGGCGAACCTTACATGCCTATCCAGCTGCAAGGTGTCAGTCTCTGATGAACACATATTTGAAGTCATTGAACTCTTGAGGTCCAGAAAGCCTGTCGACGCCAAGGCCAAGTTCTCTGAGCTGGAAACTGCACTCGGATGGACGTACCACACTGCCGCTTAAATTTGCGACGCTGATTTGCGGCAGGAGTGCCCTCCTTCGCATTGGCTCTTCGATCCAATGCACGTTTTCTACTCCCACGGCTTGTTGAGCTGGCACTTGCCCTTACTCTTGGAGCATTTGAAGACGGTGGCCGGGCTATTGCTCGCTGAGTTCGCTGAAGAGATCGTCACGCTATCCCAGACTTTTGGCACGCGCGCTCGATTGGCACCTTCGCGCATCCGGCATTGTCTTTCCGAGGCTTTTTTTCGGAAGGCGCATGGCGTGCCAATGCGTCTACGCAGGCCGCCCTGCTACAGTTTTGGTGCATGGAAATTGCGGCCCGCCGCTACAGTGGAGCTGGAACCGCAAATGCGCTGCAGTGCTTCGCTTTTTTATGCTGGGCTGCAGCTTTCCTTCGGCGCATGAAGTTCACGAGGCGATCCGCTGCACCATCCTGGCTATCCAACACACTAGCACAGTCGTACACTGAATGCTGCGACGCCTTCCTTCTCAATGTGCGGGAGCTGTACCCGGACGCTGCAAAGCCGAAGCATCATTATGGCCTGCGCTTGGCCGAGCAGTATTTGCGCACAGGTGTTTGCATTGACTGCTACACTTTGGAGCGAAAGCACCGGCTGATCAAGTCAAAGATTTGAGCTGCAGCCCGGCAAGCTGGACAAGTCTGGCCCTGTCCTCTTGTCCGTCTGCCTGGCGCAGAAGTCTGAGATGATTTTGTCCGGCTACGGCAGTCGTCCGTCCACGTCTGGTAGATCCTGTCGCGTCCGCGAAATGGATGTCGGCGTGGGGGATGTGCTGTGGATTCAAGAGGAGAAGCTGGCTGGACCAATACTGCGCTTGCAGGGCGCTCTGGCTCTAGCTTCTCTTCGCGCTGGTCAAGACGAGCGCAGCCCGTCCATCTTTGCGTTTTCAGCTGATAGCAGCGATCGCTGGGTGGACCTGGGCGAGTCGCAGTTTGTAACCCCCAGCTTTTGGAGGATCACGGCGGACTCAGTGCTGCTTCTGGTCTAGTGCGTGCGCGGAAAAGTATGTATACTCTGCTCGCCGTTCTTTGCTTGCTGTCAGGCATTGCCACGATTATTGCATCTCACGCTCCACCTGAGAGTGCGTGCTAGGTGCGCATCGCACGTTCTTGTTCGACACCCACCACAAATTAGTTTCCATCATTTCATGCTGGTTTGATCTTGTTTACATTGGTTTAATCTGTTTTTTCCTTTTTTTTTGCGTTTTTGTCTCTTGTTGTATCTCCATTATCTTGTTGTTTATCTGTTATCTGTGTTTTTTATCATTTTGTTTTTTTTTATCTTTTTCTATCTCCAATATCTTCTTATTAGAAGAAAGCATAGTTACTAAGTTCAAACTAAGTGTCCGGTATCTGGGCTATCTACTTACTTTCTCCTATATCTGCATTTTCTTGCCACGAGGCTTCTTAGTGCGTGTCTGTCTGTGTCTCTTTGTGTCTGTCTGTGTCTGTCTACGTATCTCCGTCTGTCTGTGTCTGTCTACGTATCTGTGTCTATCTTCGTGTCCGCGAAGACCCTCCTCCCCGCCCTTGCGTTACGTATCTGCGTCTGTCTTAGTGTCCGCAAACAGGTCTGCGCACGCGTGCTTTCTCTCGCCCCGGGCAAATCTGCGTCTGTCTTCGTGTCCGCGAAGACCCTCCCCTCCCTGCGTGTCTGTCTGTCTGTCTCTCTCTGTGTCTGTCTACGTATCTGCATCTGTCTGCGTGTCCGCGGTCTGTGCGCGCGTGCTTTCTCTCGGCCATTAAGTCCGGCCTTGCCGCGCAATTCGCCCAAAGGGGCGCATGCCTAGGCTTTGCCTTCCGACTGACGGTCGCTGCCGCCGACCCCTCGCATCGTCTGCGTGCCCAGCGCCTTTGGTGCATCATTGCCGCCCGGGTGGCCATTAGAGCGAGTTGGTGAAAGGCTCAAAAAACTGCAAATATGCAGCAACTCGGCTGCATTGCCAGCATCACCGATGCTTGCGCAAGCCCTTGTATTTCACGCATCGCCTGCGTCCCTTGCATCCCCTGCGGTTGGGGCCATTCTTCCCCAAGCCATTCCTGATGGCGCGCGTACGTACGTGCGTGCGTGCGTGTGTCGTGGGTGCGTGCGTGCGTGCGTAGGGCAGGCGGGCGGCCGGGCGGGCGGGTGGGTGTGTGTGTGTGTGCGGGCGCACTCTCCCAGCAATCCGTCCATCCATCCATCCGTCCCCCATCCCATCCAGCCATCCATCCATCCAGCCGTCCCTCCGCCCACCAGCCATCCATCCATCCATCCATCCACCCACCAGCCAGCCATCCGTCCACCCACTATCGCGCATGGCTCGGTTTTTCGTAGGGGACTGCTGCTGGCACGCGAGGGCGGTGCGCGGATCATTTGCTCAGGGTAGCTGCGTGTTGCTTGTGTACATAGCACTATTGATTGCATTCCAAAAGAAACAATGCCAATTGATTGACCATAAGGACTTGGTGCCTGAGAATGGGCACCTGCGCCAAAAACACGCGGCCACAAAAAGTTGTTAGATATGCCCCTGGTTCATGGCAAGCGCCCCCCCTCAATGTCCGAAGCCCTAAATGAACGAACCTTACCTGGCACAAGCTACGGTGAGCCGGAAACAAACAGAGGAGCGAGCTCGGGTTGCAAGTTTTATGCATGCAAGCAACACTTGAATGGCCCTGGCCTATATTTGCCTTGTAAACTGCGATAATTACGGCAACTGGACAACCATCATGCCATCATGCAAGCAAAGTAAGACCTATTCTGTCCACTCACTGTTATCAAGATCAAGGTTTGTCCACATTTGCCCTCAGTGGCCATTGTCTCAAAGAAGGACCTTTAAATGAATGATAAAATCCAGGCAGATACAAGCATATGCTCGGAAACAAAAGCAGATATATTCCAGACTTGTTGTGTTGTCCATTCCCAGCGTCCATCTCAGTCTTCATTCCAGAAAAATGCTTGCCGGGGGTGCCTGTGTAGGCATGCTGGCATATTTGGCATTGTGCAGCTCGACGGCCACGGCTGTAAAGTTGGAATCCACCTGCGCGGGTCCAGGAACCACCTGATGGTAAAATCCGTTTTATCAAACAACCCCAAACGCGTACCAAGTCCAAAGGAAACCAACCCATATCTACCAAATTGAACCTCATAGAAATAGATTGGAAAACCAAAAAACGACAGGCCTGATAGGACACGGACAACTCAAACCGATACTGAAGTACAGTTTGTCAGCTGTTTAATGACAACAATGCCTCCACGCTCAGCTGGTTTTCAGCAAAACGCACTTGCAGCATGTGGCTCTTTTTGCGAAAGTTACAGCCCTACACCAAAAAGAACGAACGTGGCGGATATTGCTTTGTCTGGCGAGCCCAAATCGCAAATCGGCTTCTGGCCTCTGAGACACGACGGCCAAGCCCTGGCGAGAAAGGTGGTGAGGGGTTCGAGCCACTCCTCGCCCCTTTGCGGCCCGGGCCATGATCTCACAAGGCCGGGTTCTTGGTCATGAACAATCATTGAATACCTAACTCATTCTTCTTTGGGAGGTTCATTGGGCGTCGACTCCTCCAAAGAGGTTGCTCAAGTGGCCACTTGTCCCAGCGCCTTCCGCAACCTGACATGAGCGCGTCTCAAAACAGGTGCCTGAAACTCATGTTAAACAACTTCAAGCAGCCCAAGAGGCCAGTTCTTTCAGCAGCGTGAATGTTTGAAACCAAAAAGCCTTCCAGGCTGTCAATACGTGACACGTCACACACTGCAATGCGCACGTAGCTCTACAACATTGTTTTTTGTACTGCGCTGGCCGCGACAAAACCTGTTCTTGGAAATGCGTTCTGCAGAAAACAACCAAGTGCGCTACGTCGACACGTCGCTGGCGCGCAACGCGCATGCTGGCCGCACGCTTGGTGCCCAAATCCTGCTCTGGGAAAATGTGTGCTGCAGCAACATCAAGCGCAACGGCAGGGCAGTCATCGCTTCGACGAGGCGTCGCTTCGTGTCAAACCCTTGCGCAAGACGGCTTGAAGGGCCCAGGGCCTCTTGAGAAGGCTATGCAATATCTTCTCAGTAGGGAGCTTCTGCGAACTGCTCAGAACCACTCAAGAAACCCCACCAGCGCGCTGACTCGATTTTTGGGTTTGTGACACGGCCGCATCAGTTCTGCGTCCTGCGCCACCAAAAATCAAGCGCGGTATAGGTGGCGCATCACAGCAGCATCGCAGGAACCTGCTGCGTCCTTGGCCCATAACCCAAGCTTTTTGTTGCCTCTGAGCCAAACCCCACTAACACACCGGCATTCATATTGAGAGGCAAGAACGACCTACAATCTGCAGGGCAAGACGCTGTTTCTCTTGATCCAAAAGATGATCGGGTTATTGTGTGCCTTCTGCGCACGGTGCCCACTAAACAACACCCCCCGCTCTGTGGAGGAGCTGCGTAGGTGTGCCTGTCATGCCAGATGGTGTCAGAAGGAAGCGCGAGCAAGTGCATCAAAACAAGTCACAATGGGATACGCGCGCGCTGTGCTTTGCTCGATGAGGGCGCCGGTGTGGCACGATACGCAGCGCCTGCGCGAGATGTCAGCGCAGTTTTGAAGGCCGTTGGATGACAGCCAGCGGCGGCAGCGCTTACGACAGCAGCTTCCGCTGGGGATGCTGCTCTGTTGATGATTGAATGTTGGGCTGGTAGCAGCACACATCGATTGGTAGGACATCTAACATCATTTAATGTCACAAGTAGGCAACACCTCGGTTGAGGTCGTTCATTGGCTACTCACCTCCGTACCACTGGTACCATCTGTCGCGCATGTTCTTGTCCCTGGGCAAGGGGCGTGTAGGTCGTGTGTGCCTTGGGCTTCGACAGGATATCTGCAGGTTCTGCCAGGTGATACGTGGGCACCCTAAGCGCCGGTGAAAAATCGCGTCTTGCAGATCGCATCTCTCCCGCAGTGTTGGTGAAACCTTCAGCACGCCCTGAATGTGATCGGCAGTCCCTTCCAGCACGCAACTCCCACTGTGACAACAGTGACAGGCCATAAACTTGAAAGCGCCCGTGACGGCAAACTGGGTGAACATGGCGAGCGATCAAGTCTTCGCGGATTCGATGTAATCAACATCAAACACACCCGAAGTATACTTGACCCAGACCAGTCCAGTCTAGCGGGGGTCATCCTGCGTGACGCCCATGTCCGTGTCACTGCAATGCATCAGTGTAGTCCTTGACCGGCCTGACAACTTGCAGTCAACAGGGCAATCTTTCGTGGATCCAGGATCAGAAAGGGGGTTCGTTCCTAACACAGGAAAGGATTCTTGGCAGCGTGCGCCGGCAGGCTCGTGAACCAAGTACCAATAAGCTCTTAGGCGCGAAAGCTTCCCTTGGCAGCAGTAAGTATAGGGCCAGCGAGGCCGGTTTGCACCCGCTGGCGCTGGACTTACTATCATGTTCTCCTGCGTGGTCCGCGTCTGCGAACGTCTACAATTGACTAAAAGGTTCGCCTATGAAACATGACATATTTAGGCCTTTGTGGCATCCATGTAGCAAGCCAACCCACGCAAAGCCTTGACACAATCGACTGACAGTTGGTCACATGGGACGCAGACTCTGTACTCCTCGTAGCATGTCGCGCCGGGCCATTCTTGCCGATGGGGCCAACACACCTTTCACTTCTTGCTTGTTTTCCACAGGTCGAGCAATGCGGTCATCATGAGAGCGGTTGGAACCTCTTTGACTGTTTTCGCGTTGGCCCCCGCAATGTCAACGTACCACTCAACACAAATCTCGAGGAACGATGACATGTCATTTTCAATCACATTGACAGGTTGCTTCATTTCCGGCTGGTCTGTCTAGAGCTGGTCAAGATAGGAAGCACGGGCCTCAGAATTTGCGTCAGGTTTGCTTCTCGGTTTCGTGGCAGCCGCAAGAGCTTTCTGCGCGTCGCCAACGGAAAGCTTGCAGATGTAAGTGACACCCTGCCACAATCCGGGTGCGGCCGGTAGAGAGAATGCCCGTGCCGGGAAAAGTTCAGCTGTACGGTAACTTCATCACTTTGGCGCGTAAGCTTGCAACTAAGTTGGATATGTTGGCAAGCCCACGCACCATGCTTAGGAACATACTCCAGTAATCCTGAGTTCGCCTGGCAGGCAGCAGTCTCCGCTCTTTGCTGCGGGGTCGGGCAGAGAGTGTTGGAATGCGTCGGCAAAAGGATGGTCGCTTTCACTGAGGGTTAATCTTGGATGAAGCAGCGCTCAGGCTCACGTGTCAACGTGTGAGGAGATGCGCCCCCATCAATTTCGCCGTTTTGTTCCTCTCAGTGCGCAATGAGCAGCAACTTAAGCCTGCAATGACGCCAGTTTCTTGCGCTTCAGATATGCTCCTGATTTCAGCTGCGCTCACTGGTCTGGCCGAGTCTGGCCACGGCTGCAAAGAAACACGGATAGAACCCGAACTTACTTCCATGCTCTTTGGGCAAACAATTGACAATTGGCATGGCCGGAACCGGAGCCTGACTTGAATGATTACCTGCTTTCGCAGCAGCAGCTTTCTTCGTTTTTTGATGGGGATGAAGCTCGTGAGGTGGATCTGGCAGGGGTTCGATTCCCCTCGCGAAAAGTTTTCTCACGATCTTGCAAAGGTCTGGCGAAATCCTGAACCCTCACATCTTTCAGAAATGCAACCAAGTAATCTTCCCTCCGCAAAAGCCAGGATTAATCAAACATCCCAAAACGCCAGGTTCGAAGATGGATCAACTTTAAATCGCCAGTAGTCAACTCGGCAACTGAATGGCAAAAAACGGGACCTTTGAAGCCCTCGTCGGATCCGGCCCCCGTGAGGCACGAGAGCTGGATGGAGGCTTGGAGCACATGCCTCCAACCCGTCTCTGCAACGGCAAGATCTAGAACGTTCTTGAATCGCCCAATGGAGACACAAAAGCACTCCCTTGGCAAAGGGACTTGTGTGTATGAGTCCAGTGACAACATAGCTGATCACTAAGGCAGAGAATTTGCCCTCATTGCCTACACGTGTTCATCTGCCGCTTGGTGTAATCGGAGGTCGACATGGCTTTGTTGTTTCCTGGCACTCGCCCGGCCTTCAGTGCATTTCCAGCGAACGATCTTGGGGATGCATGATCAGGGCCACCCGCAGCATCTTGCCCCGCCAAGTCCTCTTGGTCAAAACAACTTTCATAGGTTTTAGGTGGATCAACTTCACTGTCAGTCACTTCTTTGACAACCTCGGCACGATCGACACCTTCTTCTTCGGGCGTTTGAGGTGTTCTCCTCAGACATCCTCGGCTTGGTCCGAACAGACCTGGATGTCGCCTGCCAGGCCGCGCGCGTGATACAATATACATGATCACGAACCGACCGCAGTCTCCGAAGCCCGTCGCGTCCTCGACGCTGGTCTGGGCAACACCAGTGCTGCGCCCAAGTCCGAAACAAAGGCGTGCAGCAAGGGGAAGCCTCCCCCCGCAGCCGATGAAATGGCCAGCGGCGCAGCAAGCCTAAGACTGCGGCAACCATGAAAGCCGCGTCGGCGCCGATGAAGCGCCGCGTCGTCCGCTGGGCCGGCCACCGCGCCACGGCGCAGCAGGACACTCGGCATAGGTTAGCAAGCCGCAGGCCTGAGCGCGTCGCGCGCGGCGCTTGCGGTCGGGCTGCGGCAGCCAGTGCCACGTACAAGGGTCGTCGCGCTCCGCGTGCGCTTTGCCCCTGTCTGAAACAAGAAAATCAACAGCGCGAGAAGCAAGGGGGTCTTTGCGCACAGCCCGGGGTTGGGCGCTTGGAGCGTCGGTCCATGAACAGCTCTGCTTCTTTGCACACACACACACAACAGGCTAGTAGAAGTGCAAGAAGCGGGCCCGCCAAACATACCTACAATTGCCTGGCCGAGCCTGTGCGGCAGCGAAAAGCGTGTTGCCAGGCTGTCTACACGGATTTCAATCACCCGCCGTTGAGAACCAACATGGTTCATCGTCAAGCGCTTAAGCGCGCGTCGTGTTCGTGCGATGGATGCACACACACACAACGTGAAAAGACTTAGGGGAAACACAAACAGCGAACACAAGAAGGGACGCAGGGATGGCTCCCAATCCTCGCGCGCTGGTCCCGGTCTTAGAAGGACAAGCACCAGAGTTTAAAGGGGAACCGCACGTCGGACACACGATAGAACAATACGCCAAGCCACGCGAGGCCGAAACAAGGCAGATACCGCTGCAAGGCGAGGCGTCGTATTTTGCTCGTCTCTCTCTTGCCCTTCTTCTTGTCTTTCTTCTCCTTCTTCTTGGCCCAGCGGGCTTGCGACGGGGGTTGCCGAGTTGGTTCAAGTTGTGACCTGGAGACTCCTATTGCGGCATTGTTGGAACGTGCGCTAAGTTTTTGCGCGTGGGGGTGAAGTTTAATGCGGTGACTTGCGGGTGGTAGGACAGTGGCTTCGGCAGGCCTGTCACGGGGTAGCGCTGAGGGGCGTAAGTAGTGTGTTTGGACGAGAAAAGCTCCTTCTGGACGATTGCTTGGTCCTTGCCCGGTCAAACCATCGGCCACTGCTTCATTCTGACGCAAGCTATGTCAGGGTGACAGTCATCAAGGCCAGGCGCTATGGTGGAGATTGGGAAACGCGGCTGTCAACCTATTGACAGGCAAGAACCACCTGCGATCTGCAAAGGCAGTGTTTCTTGAGCCATAAGACGTTCAGCTTCCTCCTGTACAGATACAACACATGTCCACTACTAAACAACCGCCGCCCCCGTTGATTTTGGCCGTAGTTGTTCAATCGCTTCGGCCTTAGTTTTCGCTCATTTAGGCCGAAGTTACAAAAACCTCGCCAAACTCCTTTAGCCCTACCAACTCAACTCGACTCAACTCAACTGCCGGCTTTTTGCGCAGCCAGGCAGGAGGTTTCTTCATGAGCGCCGCGTCTGAAATCGGACTGGTGTGGAACGAGCGAAGAGCTGGGGCCGAAACAAACAGAAACTAGACCGAGGCGAGAAGCTTCGGTCCAAAACGATTCGCAAACTGCCGCGCCCCCAGGCTAAGATGGTTCTACACTTCTTTTTATACCATGGTCATTGCTTAGCGGCTCGGGAGAACCCTGCTTACGCAGGGCGCCAAGTAGTGCGCAATTTGGTTTTTGAAGGAAGGCCACGAACCCCTGGCCTTCCGGCTCCTCCTCCGGAGGCGCGCAAGCACCCTCTGGCGCCTGGCAGCCCCATTGATGGCTGGCCACAGTTGATGGCCAGTGAAAATTTCACGCAAAAAAACAAGTCCAGTCTGTTCAAATAAGGTCCTACATTGCGTTTCACTGAAAGGTGCCAACCATGAGAAGCCCTCCGCGCACACACACACAGAGACACACACGGACGCGGGCCCGCGCGCACCACCCGCAACTGGGAAGCACTGCAGTTTTGATAAGATTACAGGACTGAATGAGCAAGGTGTAAATGTTTGTTAAAGACTCTATCAGAGACCTGAATTTCCAATGTAAGCTGGATTTCCAAGCGAACTGCCAGTATGCAAGCAGTTGGCTGAAATCGCAAGGGCATGGACATATTTTGCGCTAAAGGCATGCGTGTGACTGCGCGCTTCGTATGTTGCACCGCTAATCGCTGGAATTGCCAAAGCACTACGGGAATTGGAGACACGTTCTGGCATATAGGCATATTCGGCAGACTGCCTCATGTTTCAAGCTTTGTGCTGGCGCATCCTTTGGCAAAGCAACTCTTTATGTAGCCACAACGGCTCATGAGACAATGTTTGCACAGCTGTCACGCCAAGCGCGTCCCTACGCAGAGTGTGTGAAGTTGGGCCAAACGGTAGCTGCGCTTGGCGGCACCTTATCCATGGAGGATGGGTTCATTGTTGGCTGGGTTTGGTTAATGGTTTTTTGGGTTGGCTTGGAGAGCGGAGTTAGAGGGAGATTGGGCACAGGGTTGGCTTGAGGTTGGTTAAGGGCGGTTTAAGTTTGGTTGCGGGCTGGCGGTTTAGGGTTTCTCTGTGGTTGGGCTTGGTTTGGTTCGGGGGCGCGTGTGTTTCTCAGGCTTTATGGCGGGGCGCGGTTGGGTTTAGGGTGGGTTCAGGTTGGTTTCAAGCAGGTGTAGGGTTGGTTTCGGGTTGCGTCAGTTCGCGGGTTGTGAAGTGGGTGGGTTTAGGGTTGTTTCGCCGCCAACATAAATCGGACCCAATCCCGCACAGACGGTTCTCTACACCTCTGTAGCCCAAATCCCACCTCTGCCATATCCGTCAGCTCCGTTCTAGCCGCATAACCCAATTTTACCGCCGCGCAGACTGTGTTCTGTCACCGACTTCCACCGGCACACGGACGGCCCTGCCTCATTCTTGCTACAGCTCCGTAGATCAAAAAACCTACCAGAACACAACTTACGGCAGAAGCACATCCTTGTAAACAAATGTGACTCACCTCAATCACCTCCAGGTGCGTGACTCACCCGCCACCTCGCCTCACCCCACCTCGCCTCATCTCACTCTCGCTCCCTTGCGGTTAGACAACCAAACAAGAACTCCAGAACTCCCCCGGCTTTAGAAAAACAAGGCTGGAAGCCAAAAACACAAGGCAGATTAAAACTGTGAACATATCTGCTTCTGATCAAGAAAACTAAGACTTGGCTGCCTCAAACAGAGGTTATGAGCCCAAGCGAATCGTCCAATGGAAGATGAGCAAGGACTCCACGGAGAAGCCGATCATGGCAAAGGTGGAGTAGCGGAGGAGGAGACAGGCTTTGAGGTGATAGGCAGGGGGGTGTGCGCAGCGAAGGTGGGCCGCAGTGCTGGAACTCTACCAGGCACAGATGGAGTACCTTGATAGGTGGGAGCAAGAACCCCCGCCTATGAACAGGCGCAGAGAGCCGACCAGGCCGCAGCACTTGCCGCTTAGAGCTGAGGCCAAGATAGAAGGCCCGGAGACGATGGCAGCAATCTACGAGATGCAAGAGCTGGAGAAATTCAAGGGCAGCGATCCACGAGCTCATGGGAGGAGCGGCTCCTCAACTCTGAGGCTGGCTACCAGGAGTAAGGCTGGAAGAACTTGCAACGCGCATGACCGACGAGGATCATTCCCCTTGGAGTGAACAACTAGGACGGCCATGCAATTTACTCAGAATGCTGCGAAGTTGAGCAGTGAAACAAAACAGATGAGATAGCACGAAACATTGAGAAACATATGAGCCAGCGTCTATATTTGCTGTGTGGGGTGTATTCATTCTACTTTTAGTGAGTCCCCTATCGTTCTCCACGTTTCGCGCGTTCGTGCTGTGCCCGATGAACCCTCTGCAGGGATCGCGCGCCTCGAAGCGCTCCCATTGTGGCGCCGTGCGAATTTGTAAAGCGCCCGATGAACCCTCTGCGAGGATTGCGCGTGCCACAGCGCCCTCGCTGTGACGCCGTGCGAATTTTAAAACTGCCCGATGAACCCTCTGCAGGGATCCTGCGCGCCCAAGCGCTCTCGCTGTGGCGCCGTGCAAATTCGTAAAGTGCCCAATGAACCCTCTGCGAGGATTGCGCGTGTCAAAGCGCCCTCGCTGCGACGCCGTGCGAATTTGGAAAGTGCCCGGTGAACCCTCTGCAGTGATCCTGCGCGCCCAAGCGCTCTCGCTGTGGCGCCGTGCAAATTCGTAAAGTGCCCAATGAACCCTCTGCGAGGATTGCGCGTGTCACAGCGCCCTCGCTGCGACTCCGTGCGAATTTGGAAAGTGCCCGGTGAACCCTCTTCGCGGTGACCACGCGTGCCCAAGCGCTCTCGCTATAGCGCCGCGCGAACTCGAAAAGCACCCGACAAACTTTCTACGCAAACACAGCACTGGAACCACACGCGTAGTCTTTTGTAAGCAAACGCACTAGGCCTCACATTTGCAACTCGGGCCAATTCGGGGTATCGACGGGGTATCGACCGGGGTATCGTTCTGGGCGTGTGTCGCGTGACGAAAATTTTCACAATTTTCCATAAGCTGTTAGAGCCAAGCAAACACACAATAGCCTTCTCTGCCTTGCGGTAATCATATATCAGTCTTGGCGGCTTGCTTGCTGGCAGCAACCTCAAGGTCGCAAGTCGCAAATTTCACCACAAGCGCAGTGCACAAGTTACACTTCGGCAGCTCCAGCTCGAAGGTCGCAGCTTGCGGCGGTCACGTGTCAGTCTAAGCGGCTTTTGCTTGCTGGCAGCAACCTCCAGGTCGCAAGCCGCAGCTTTCAGTACAGGCACGGTACACAAGTTAGACTTCGGCAGCTCCAGCTCGAAGGTCCAGCACAAACCATGTTCAGGGGTATCGTTTTTTGTGAGTCCCCTATCGTTCTCCAAGGAAAATGCAAAAAACCAGTATTGAATGAAACGCCGTTGATAAAGTGGTCTTTCATAATTCTCAGGTTGACTCATATCAGCATTGGTTCGGAGAATTTAAGTGTTCCAGACAGCTTCCGTTTCACAGCTGCTTCGCTAGATAGACCAGGTTCATTGACAAGGTCTGACAATACACCTGAGAAACAAGTAAATGGGTTCTACGTGAGAACTGGCAGAACCACATGAGCTTTAGTAGTGAAAATGATGTTACTAGAACTGCAAAATACGTTGAGCTGCAAAAGACGTTGACTTCTTAACAACTCAAAGGTGGGCCCAGCATAAACCTTAAAAGATGTTTGAAGGGGCCAGCAAAAAACCCTAACATGTGTCTGCAGGCCAACGTGAACGTGTTCGTGGGCCCCTGAAACAATGTTGATGGGCCCGACATAAACCGTAAAAGTGGTGGTGGGGCCAACAAAATCCCTAAAGGGTGTGGGCGGGGCCCACATCATTGGTTGCGGCAACAACCCTAAAACGTGTGGGTGGGGCCAACATAAGCCCGTAAAAGCGTTTGTGGGCCCAACATAAACCCTAAAACGTGTTGGTGGGGCCAGCGTAACTTTGCATAAACCCTAAACAGTACAGGGACGTTAGCTGCATGGCTATGCTAGTTCAAGTTTGAAGATACACATGTACAATCTAAAGATGTCTGACATTGAGTTGAAAAACCTGATGAAGACTATTCCAAAGCTAGTTATGAAAGCATGTTGACATTGAGAATCCGCCGGTGGTCGAAGACTTGAACGTCGCCTGCTGGCCCTGGGGCTGGCACTCGCACTAGCCCTGGGAGTGGCTCTCAAAAAACATTGAGGCATCTCCATTCCACACCCAATGAATTTGTGAGGTGCGAAAAATCAAAAGACGACGTGTTATTGTTCACCGACATGATTGAAAACTTTAGAGACGTACCCAGCGTGTTATGACACGTTGCCTATCTTCGCTTTCCGTGCCATATTAAAACTAACTGGTGATGAAATAGCCTCCATTCCATCCTCGGAAAGCTAGAAAAGCTCGAACGTCTGGAAAGCGATTTCGGAAAGGGGGTTGCTTGATAAGCTAGAAAAGTTTGTGGAAACGATCCCTCGTAGACTGCTTTAGTATTGCGAGCCTCCCAGCAAAACAAATGACCCCTTGGGAAAAAGCAAGCTTCTATCTTTCCGCGGAGCGAATCCAGCATCAACCCTCTGCAGACATGTCTCGCCCCGAGGAAAGATAGAAACTCTCCGGTCGCGGAAGGTCTGGATATGTGTGCCTCCGAAAAGCAAAACATGACTTACGGGCCAACATGTTCCAGACCTTCCGCAAGCGCAGAGTTTCTATCTTTCCGCGTGGCCGCCAATACCTGCAGAGGGCTGATTCCGTTTTCGCACAAATACTAAGTTAAGTAGTGGCAATACTACATTCAGCACTGACAATATAAATTTAGGACTGGCAATATGGATGTACTACAGACAAGCAAATAATATGACTTTCTCGGGCCATTTTCTATCTTTCCGCAAGGACTGAAAAACACAAGACTTGATAGAAACTTTTGGCCGGGCAGCTTCTATCTTTCCCCCAGACGTTACGCTTTTGAGGAGATAGTTGACAATGCCGGAACTGGGGGAAGTTGAGCGGGATCCAGAGAAGCTGAGGCGGTCTTGGATTCCCGAGGCGGGCCACGGGAAAAGGCTGAAGTACCGAAAGGTCCAGACCGCTGCGATAGTGGTGGAGATGGCTTGCCAGTACTCAATTAACAGTACTAAATTTAGTATTGCAAATACTAAACTTAGTATTGCCAACGCTCAGGCGGGGCGGCGCCTGGGATACCGAAGGTCCCATCGAATGGTCTTAGAGCTTTCTGCCAAGTT